GAGCATCAATATCAATCCCAACATGTCGGCTCCTGCCATGATAGTTTTTAAGGCTAAAGTCACCTGAAAGAAATTTGCTGAACCATCGTTGACACTTACAAACGTTCAAAACATTTCCATAAACTTCTTTGATATTCTTTGTGACTACAGAGGCGTTGTTTCCCTTCTTGTATTCAAACAGCATTACATGCCGAATATGTGTTTTGTCGTGTCCCATCGCTATAAGTGATTAGAGTATACTAAACTTCACACATTATATAGGCTACACTAACGTGACATTTATGTGGTTCGTTAACTATTATACGTGATGTACGTTTTTTGGGGGGTGGTTAATGAAAGTGTTCCAAAACGCGACATTATATTCTTGACGACCTAATAAATTTGGAAAATTACTCAATATCTGAAATAAGAGTTTGTCAAAACTCTTGCTGATTACAAGTATGGTGAAAATGAAAATAATTACATTAGATGAAGAATAGTTCTTTCAAGTACCAGAATAATTTATAGAATGACTTTCAGCATGTTGCAGATGAGGAGATTTACATGAGATGCAAAGTTGGATTTTATTTTTACCAGAATAATTAATTTCAACTGAATAATGACCTGCAGCAAGTACAAGAGTAGGAGAATTTCGTATGTTACATTTAACTCTTTCAAGTGCCAGTAAAATTTGTAAAACTACGTAATTTTTAGATTTCACTTATAATTCATCAAATCAGAATCCACGGTATTATATTAAAAAATGTGTAACATTCCTTGATACTTGTCCATGGGCTTCGTGAATTTAGTCTTAAAACAGCAAGTTAACAGCTTTACCGCATGCAAATTGTATTTGCTTGTTATTTTTAGACACATCAGGTTTACTGATGTGAGCCTATCTGTCTGGAGCATATGTATGGGTGAGCCGACACAGGTGTGCATTTAGTCTACAGGTATTCTGTTGTTGTTGAAGATCATATTGGCAAACCAATTACGAAGAACATGCAACGAACGCCGCTGCGGTGATGCGCGTTCATTGTCATCTTCTTATTTTGCTTAGTTTGCGAGAATACTCGCATACAGGGATAGAAGCACCGCTGACAGTCTCTGTACATTGAAATAAGATACTACGAGCGTCGAAGGTCAAAGGTCAATGTTACTAGCGTTTAACTAGACACCGAATAAGGTTAAGACAACCAAACTAAAAAAAATGAACTACGAAGTCCACAAGTACGAATTATGTGATACTATTAGGTTGGAAAGGCCCAGGGGTAAATAAACCATAAAGTTATTTCTAACGATTTCACCATTGGATTGTCAGATATGCGTTTTTGTTTTAAATCATTATGTTCAGGAACTAAGGGAGTTGGGATCACATGCACAAATGTTTTCTGGTAGATTCTTCTCTGCATATAACACTTAAAAACGAGCGCTTCTTTAATTCATTAGTAGCAGTTGTGTTGTACATGTACTGTAAAACTCGGTTTGAATGATTCATTGAAGTTTATAACCATTGCAATTTGATGAAGGGCATAAATGTGGCAAACTCTATGCCTTGATCTGTGTTAAAAAGTGAAATGACGGTAGCTCCAAAATTAATTTCACTACCAGTTACTTTAGATTACCTATTATAAACTTCAAAGCAAACCACAGAAATTATAAAGCCTAAATTGTCCAACAATCAATTAATCATTTGAAGATTTAGGCCTAGTAGAGTGGGATTATTTTAGGCACGCTACGACCAATAATTAATAAAAAATGTTTTGTTTGTTTTCTTAGCGCAAAGCAACGTAATGGGCTATCTACCATCTGTCCGCCGCGGAGAATCGAACCATGAATTTTAGCGATGTTTGAAAAATTACTTGAAATTATTTTATTGAACCTTATCTAGATAATATTTTTCTCTTTGAAAGTTTTTAAAGCGTAAAGGTATATATACAATAGGTTAGCAGGGCTGTGCCTACCGCAGGTATCGAGCCCCGAATTTCAGCGTTATAAGCTTTCACGCTCTCGGCTATAGTACATTTTAATGTTGACATCTAGTCTGAGCCTGGCCCACGTTCGGTGTGTTTTGCACCTACACGTATATAAGGAAGTGTTATATAATGATAAACAAAGAGAACAGGAGGTAAACATTTTCCCATTGTGAGTGAGACTGTGACCCTTACCCACGGAATCTGAACTTCAAATTTGTCCCAAAAATATCAGGGTCAGTCGTCACGTACCATACAAGTAACTTGACTTTGAAATCTGTCGCATGTTCCAAAGTTATTACATAGTTTTTCACTGTCAAAGAAATCATAGTTACACGGGATGTTTAAATAATACAAATATTTACTAAACACACACACACACACACACAGTTTGGTAATTAACACGTGTTTCAACCGTAACATAAGGGTTTTTGTCCATACAATATAACATAATTTTACCTGGTATCATTAATCGTCCATGGCATACTTTCTCGTAACTTACTTTTAATACACAAAATCGGATGCAAATGAAAATTCTGGAAACCGTTAGAATGGTTGTAAAGAGATATTATTTCGAAACTATTCATTTCCAATACATATGCATTTTAAAAAATATTTAGTTTCCTGCAAGTTGAAAGAAACGTTTCATTCCCAAGAAAACTGTTAAAACATTAGGATTTTTTCAATTAGGAGCTAGTAAGTTTTAACGTAATATAATAGGAAACATTACGACCAATATCTGTTGTGATATTTCATATTATCCCAACGCTATGAATCGAAATCGTTCACTACGTACTTTAAACATCTGCTCCATAATAACACCATTACAGCTGCTTTTGTACGCATACTCTCTCTCGCAAGACCTTGACAATACGAATCACGTGATGCTCCTTGCGATAACATACAGTTTCCATGGCGTCATAGATATCCATGCATGACTCATTCCACTCTTAGTAGTTCCTGCACTACTCGCCAGGAGATGAGTGCTTACTTTGGACCTGTTGCTATTCGACTAGCAGCTCATGTTGTTGATTCGGTTGGGCTACAGCTTTTGGTGGTGAGAAGTAGTTCTTATCAATTAATAATGCATATCTTAATGTTAAAGGCAATGTTGGATGAACGTGTAATTATTATAAATATTGAGCTTTCTTTACATTCGGCGTAAATTGATTTTCGAATTGTAATTAATTTTTCTTTTCACGGTGCTCTAAAACTAATCTCACATCAATTATCAACTGAAACTAATGTTTGTGTTACAACTGTTCGTAGTAGTATAATTAAATCGAAAGAGATATTTGAATTAAATATGTCTTATAACTTTTAAGATCTTAATACACGCTCAAAATTGTATTTATGCTTTGGTTTTCGATGCTAGATAGAATAAGTATTATTATACAAAATACTTTTAAATTATTTTGGCGTTTTCAGACTGTCGTTTAACTGAGGACAAGCCAATATAACAGATCTTAAGTTTTTTTTAGTTGATTCAACAAAAACGGTTACAAAACTCTTCCAAATTTGGAAAAATATATTAAAGTCTGGTTAAAGAAAATAATCTAAGACTTGTTCTTGAGTCACGAAAGATCTAGCCAATTTGAATTAAATAGATATACATATATTACGCGTTAAAATACAAGTCTAAAGTGTTTCGCCCTGATAAGACAAAACAATTATACGTCCTGACACAAAAGAGCACATTTGTTTTCTAACACCACAGAGAGAGAAAGACAATCATTTTAATTTTCGAAATATAAAAGGTTTCGTTACCGTTTAATTTATCTTGCGACAAATAAAACAATGTTAAGATTTTTATTTAAGAGCCAAAAAGTTTTCTTTTGACAAATTTCTTTTGGAATTGCCTTAATAGAGTCAGGCGTGGGTCTAGAGGTTAGAGTCCCCTTTTGGAGTTATAAGAAAAATGGTCAAATTCTACAGTTCGATTAAAATAGCCCAATAGTTAGCTATGGATGTTGTTGACTAGTTGCCTTGCTTCTAGTTTTTAAGTTCAATATTAGGGATGACTAGTTCAAAAATCCGTTGTGTAGCTGTTGCTCGAATAGCCGAAACAAACAAAGCTATATGACCATATACCTCGTCTTTTTAAGTCTAGAGTTAGATAAAAACCACAGTATATGGTACAAAGTGTCGGAAGATTTGATATAGGAGAAACTAGTTTCGACAGATTCGTGTGTTTTTTTTTCAGTCTCACGTTGTCTTCTCAGAAACTAGTTTCCCTAATACCAAGACTTCTGACAGTTTGTTCGATTTAATTTGTTTTTTCACTGACTGCTACGAACAACATTGTGTTCTTTTATTACCAACTTTAGTCTTGTATTAGTTATGTTTACAACATTGATATATATCATTTAATAACAGTTTTTGCTGAAGGTTATCAACTATTTTAGCGAAGTTTTACAGTTTAATGTCGATTTTGATACTCAAATTGGAATACTTAAAACAGCTCAATTATAAGTTTATTATGTTTTTAACCCTCTTTTGTAAGAAATGGTATTTTGTAATTAATTTAGAATAGAGTGAAAAGTAAATAATAAAAATATATTACGTTAAGTCTTTATCGGCCTGAATAAGTATACTATGCATATAACATCTGGCTCAAGAACGTATTTGTTAAAAATACCAGAATAACGTTTCAGCTCATAATCTCGGTTTCTAAACAAGAGAACTGTTATGAAACATGGTGACATATTTATGATTACGCAGTCTGAAGCTACAATATAAAGTGCTAAAGATTAGACGAGAAACTGATATGAATACCTTGTACAAATCATGAGTCACCAACGACAACTTGCTTACTCACTGACCGTTATGACGAAACGTCTGACCATGTAGGAATAACGTCATGGTCAAACTTCACCGAGTGAAGTGTAAAAAATATATTTTGTTTTACGTGTTAATTTACATAACACCGGAGGGTGCCGAGAAATCGGACTGGAACGCGAACGACGTAACTGGCAATAGAGTGACGTCAGTGATTGCGTCACTAGGGAGTCCTTAAGATTGGCTGGTACAATTGTCGTTAGTCATTACGACTCTGTGAATGGTATGCTTCAGTAGGGTGGTTTACGTTAATCAAGAACTCCACGTATATTTATTGGGGTAAGAAAAGCTGTCGTATTATATCTAACTTATAGTACAAAACGGGAAGTATAGTCAATAATTTTCAAATATATTATTTGTAGGAAAACGTGAACGATTCTGACCAGCACTGCAGTAAGTTCTCTTATTTTACACCTTAGTATTCGGTTTATAGTTGCTCATTTTTTCATTGTGAACTAGTTGTGTTTGTCAGCTTGAAGTGGTAATAAGAACCATCTTCAACTAATTAACTAAATAACGAAAGGATAAACTTAAAAACATGATTTTATGATTGGCTAGAGCTCGAACCATTACTTTTAACCCTTCTTAAGTTCAAGTTTTGAAGAGGCCTGAATTATGTCGCAACAACATCTATTAAAAAATATAAAACAGATCAGCTTACGTTTGTTTAAATTAGCTTTGTTGTTTCTAGAAAAGAAATAAAAACTGTTCTTAATGTGACTTCCTTTATATTAATATTTTCAGATTCTCTGGAATAGTTCATTACACTACTGACCTTTAAACTGGGACAAAGAGTGAGTAGAACTTCGTCCATGTCAGGAGCGGCCCAAGTGGAGAGACCACCCGAGGTGTCGAGCATGTTACACTCGAGCGACCTGTTGCGACCTCGTCTACACTTAGCTTTATCTCAACGGAATTTTTGTTGTTCGGGGTGTTCCTCGGTTCACCCCTCTCCGCCTGTACAGAAACGGTCGCGACTGGATTCGATAGTGACCGTTCCGTGCCCACATTCTGCGTCTACCGGAGATCAGCCAACTACGAACAATAAGAACTTGAAACGCGTGCGAATGGTTAACGCAAACGAAGTTGCAGATATGTCTCGGACAGAGATTACAAATCACCTTTCTTCCCCTCCCCCCATCATCTTGGACTGTCGATCGTTTCTTAGTTACAATAAAAACCACATTAGCGGTGCCATTAATTTGAACTGTACTGATCGGATCAACCAAAAACGCCTGCAACAAGGACGGGTGGCCTTATGGGACCTGGTCAGCTCTCGTGAGGGGAAGGAACTTCTCCGGAGAAATATGCAAAATGAGGTTGTGGTGTACGACGATTCTACGACGGACATAGAGAAGCTTCCGGTGTATCATCCGTTGACGTTGGTCCTCAACATTCTTTGTGAAAATGGAACGAAAACGGCAGTGTTAAAAGGTTAGTTCTCACAGCTGTATGCAATCTTGTGTTACCTGTTTTTTGTTGTTGTTTTTTATTGTGTAAAATCACGTTTCTGTTCGTGCTGTACCCTGTGGAGAAATTTGTTAAGTGAAAAGGAGAAAAAAAAATAATACTCTTATTTAAAATATCCACTGAGGAAAACGGATTCAAAATTCATTAACCAAAATTTATCAATTAAGTGTACTCATATAATTTCATAAGCCAATGATTATTTCCAATCTAAATTATTGTGTAATTCTGGTGTGTCCAGAGATAGTAATATAATAGAAAGACTTAAATTAGAAATTACTAACTGAACCCTTTGTAAAATGTTTATTTCCAGCAAGAACTATATTTTGTACAAATGTTACGTAAAAAAGTATAATATAATGACACTTTTATTAAACTTAAAGGTTTGTTTCATATCAGATGGTCAACTTTCAAAATAAATGTAAATCATGCTCAAGTTAAGCTTTTAAAGTTTGAATTTGTAGAAGTACATCCGATAACTAACAGTCAAATAAATATAGGTTTGAAAGATAATTGGGTCATGAATTTATTGGCTTACGTCGACAGTATCGCGACACCGTGCGAAGGTCGTTCAGAACGTCTCTCTTAGTCTGTTTTGGTTGAAATAGGGTCACATTGTTACTCGTACATGCTGTTTATTTAACTCATCTCAGAAAAAGACTACTTTTAGGATTATATGTGGGTCCAGACTTTATCCGTATGTCAACTAGTTATTTCAAATTCAATGTCCACTGTATCTGAGTGTTCAACTTATATTATTGGTTAAAATTGCAAGCCTAAAAAGACCATAGAAGTTTCAGGTTTTTGATTTTAGGTTTTTACTGATTTCACGATAGGTTTAGAGAACCTATTTGTTTTATTCTTCTGAAACGTCACTTAAGTTGACAAAGCTTAATCATTCATTAAGTATTACGAACAAACCATAGTCTACTTACTGATTATAGTATTTTTTATTACAAGTTACAGCTTTTACATTAAGTACCTATTTTAAAAATATTCTAACGTTTCAATCACTGATGCAATTACTTACAAGTACAGAATATTTAAAGGTAAAGAAGGTTTTAGTACTTAAATACCAGTGATCAAAACGTTGTACCTGTTTTAACAAATATTCTTCCTTACTGTAAAAGCTGTAACTTGTAATAATAATAAAAGATAAACAACAACCCCGGTCTATATTAAAATAATATTAATACACTTGTTTGATTTACATTTCCGATCAGGCTTCATATAGTAGTCGTCATATACATATATTAGTAATGCGTTTTATATTTTATTTCTCGATTTCCGTGTTGGTGTGTCACGTTGTTTCCGTGCTGATGTGTCACGTTGTTGGTGTTACATAGGGGTTCCCGATTTTGTTACTTGGTAGAGAACAGCACTTACAGTTAAACATGACATAAAGAAAAACAGTATCTTAGTAACTTGTACTCCACGAGTTTTGGTTGTCCGACTTTTGAATTATTAAGACAATCCAGGTGTTTTCCTCTTAAAACCACGTAACTCCCCCACCATCTCTCGGTTTATGTGCGGGTGCTTGGAGTAGCAACAAGTTTTAGTGAGCCGACCAGGAAATACCGTGAGAACTTAACAAGTTACACTGTGCCTAATAAGGCGTTGTATGCTTTGTTTTTAAAGTGTAAAAAAGCGTAACATTATACTGTGTACTTAGGGTAATGAACTGGATAGATTGCAAGTAGAGGAAAGTCATTATAGTTGTGGTTGTTAGTGTTACACATGAAACATTTCTGCCCAGCATAACTGTTATAGTTCATGCTAAAACTTTATGCTTGAATTGTCCAAGCCCGTTTCATCAAATAAAACAAAATGTATATACATATATGTATGTATCCATCTATATATATGACGAAACTACGCTTGCAACAGCCGTTTTGACTTTTCGCGTCCGTTTAAAGCACCAAATTTCACAAAAGCCACCTATTGGATAGGTTTGGAAATTTGCGAATAGAAAAGTAACCGAGATTTGTTATGGTGTTCAATTATGATCTAAATCACATGGCCATATAGTTATTATACGTAATTATAATACAGATATTTGGTTCACTTGAGAACATGGTTGCATCTTTATTTTCTACAACAAATTTGTTTTGAATACAGTCACAATTCTCATATTATTTTTATTTATTTTTTCTTAGCACCACTTTTTAAGTTAGCGTACAACAATTAAATGTTCTTTCTTCCGGGTCTTTTTCTCTTTTTTGCGTTGTTTTATCAACGTGTTATTCCACCAGTATTTCATTTGATAATAATAAGCTGTAAATGATACAAAATATGCCAAATCTGATTGGCTCAACATAAATTTCAAAATGATATATACGGTTACAGCAACGTGTCTAGTAGTGGTGATGAATATGTTGTGAATGTACCTTATCAATGTTGGTAGGTGAACGACAAAAATCATCATACCTTATCTATGAGCTGAACTAAATCAACTGTTAGTCGGTAATAACGTAAACCGAGCATAGCACAGTGGTTAGTGTGCTGGACTATGGATCTGTGGGTCCAATCTTTACGACCCGTTACCACAAAAAAATTTAAAAAAAACTGCTCCCCTAGTTTGAGGCCGTGGGTGTGTTATTACGGTCAAGTCACACTATTAGATTGGACTGGAGTAACCCAAAGGTTGACGGTGGGTGCTGTTGACTAGTTGCTCTTCCCTCTATTCTATAAGTTTAAAATAATGGACGGCTATTGTATAATACGAAGTTAAATCAAGCGGTTTTAACTTTGAATTCCGTAACGGCCTTACGAGGTTAACTCGCAAGAATGCACCGTGCCTCACTGAATGTGTTGAGAAAAAAAAAGTTTCCTTGAGCTCGGTGTTCTTACTGTTGGTATATCAGCCAAGGCGACCGTTGCCTTCAGATGTATGAGTCAGACCGTCCATGTAGGACACATGCCTAGCTGGAATGCATCCACCCCTCGTGGTATTTCCATTATGAGTCTGTATTCTACATTTGGAAGTGCCTTCATGCCTAGACAGTGAATAAGATTGTAACGTGAACCACACCCTTAAGGCAGACTGAAGGTGTATTTATCCGAGTTTTTTTAGATCGAGAAGTTCTCCAATTATTCACTTCAAGAAAATACATACTATGTCAAATTAGAGTACATCAAAATGTGAATCAACGTGACACTGATTTAAATTGGGTAGTCTACTGTTAACAAGTGAAGTAATAGCCAGTGTTTACGAGAAGATCACCTTTTGGCAGCAAAGGCTGATCTACACTGACTTGGGTTGTTCGTCAGTGGGGGTGATTTGATGTCAGAACATCTATTATTAGAACAGTTTGAAAGTTAGTCATAGCGTTTTTATTTTTATATTCAGTACGTGCTATGACACTGTAATAACAACATAGAAAAAATGCTGCTGTAATGATTGCTAATTTTATCTTGTATTTGTAAATTAAAAATAACGTTATTGCATGTTCACTTAAAATGAGAAGAGTATACTGTAAATATTAGATTTTATCCAACATAATAATTACGTCCAAAACACAGACGAAGAAAATGGTAGTGAAAACGCACATCAGTCAGGAATGAATGAAAAATGTCGTGTCACATGAAGAAAGCTGAATGTTATTCCCCCTCACACATTATTCCACAAAAACGTTTTAAATCGTGCTCTAAATGTAATTCTGAGAAGTTAGCAGCAATAAGTAAGAGGTTAGCTGTGTAGAACCCCAGAACGTTTCCTTAGTAGATTAAAAAGAAACGTTTTCTTCTCTGTCCTCCCATATTCCTGGCTATTAGTGGTGTCTAACTAACGAGTTCGGATATCGGGGGATTTTCAACAGCTTCTAACTCAATTGACCTCATCATGTAACGAAGAGGTGTAGCAATGAGTCATAAATCCACCTTCTTTAACTCTGCTTTATCTCCCAAGGGCTGTTCTCTTGTGTTAGCTTAAAACAGTTTCGCTGACGAACCACCCCTACCAGCAAAGCCCCTGGCTATGGCATCACTAAGAACACGAAATCTGGACTGCCATTGGATCCCAATCACAGCCTGTTACGTGACAGAAGAAGAAGATGATGTGATTCATCCTTCCTCATCACATTGTCCACCTTCAATCTGTCAAGCCATGAATCACACGGTTCAATACAAATCGGTAGTTGTCTTTTGTTATGGCTAACTTTGGTAACTTCCGTCGGGCTGAACAAAAGTATCCAGCGAAACTCTTTTTATAGTGCTGCTTTTTAAAGTGACTGTCAAAATGCTCTTTGCTTCTTTAAATTTCTTTCACAAATTACGATTCACTTAGATCACTGGTATATTTCGTGTTTTTTTTTGTCTCTCTCCTCAGGAAACAAAAAGCCAAGGCTAGTAATTAGATAATCTGTGCTTTACCCTACTGTTATTATAGTACTAAAAACGTATTCTGATAAGCAAGGCTATTAATCGTATGATCTGTGCTTAACATTTTATTTGAACATGATTATTTGTTTAAGGAACAATTTAAACGTACAGTAACAGCTTTAAATGTGGCTTGGCACAAGAATCCAATACATTTGAAAATAAACATGTAACATCATTCCTTTATGCATATGAAGTTTTGAAATAAAGTTATTTTATCGAACGCCTTTGGTTGACGATTAATGTTAGAAGGATCACGCACCCACTTGAAAAGAGGATTTTCGAGTTGGCAATTATAAAATCTCGTGAACTATTTTGCCAAAATTAGGCTATATGACTAATAGCCACCAGAGGTCGAGAGTGTGACAAGGATACTGGTGTATATAAGATTTACGATGACAAAAACGATGGAACAATACAGAACAGATCGGTTAAGTAATGGACCATTTACTAATGTTATACTATGTTTCCATTATGTGCTTTGCACGTTATGCTAATACATCATTTAATCTTCAGTTCAGTGAGTTGTGGCGCAGTGAGTCAGGGCCCAGCGGTCAGGGAGTAATGGCTGTCCTATCACTGAGGGTTTTCAGAACATTCACGCCTCCTGGTCAATAGAAGTACCACTAGGGATTCTTAATGGACCCTAATTAATGAATATACGTTCATGTTGGTTCTATGAAATTTCTGGAGCAAGATATCTTTTACAACCTCTATCGCGTAAATCCTGCTTCTGCTCTTGATAAAGTAATCCCCCTCGGAATCATAATATTACTGGCTTGATCACTTTAAATTATGTTTTAGAGAACATACGCACTTTACTAGCTGTTGAATGTGTGTACTGGGAGTCCTAGTATAAGTCAAAACTCTTAAGTTAACATGAAATATCGTTCAAATTACTCTTCCGAAGCATGCGACGTCGTAATGAATGTTCCAGCCTGAAGTTTCAAACAATTTCAATTTTCCTCCTTTCGAGGGAGACAATTTGTTTCTTTACGTGAATGAAACTAAAAGTGATCACATTTTACACGCACCTTTCTTGAGTTTTCTTTTTTCTTGCTATATTTTTGTTTCCATATTCCTTTTTTAGTTTCTAAGTGATTAGATATAACATATACCTTTGTATCCATCTTTTTTATTATCTCTCTTTATAAATAATAATAAATTTATTATTATCTCGGAACTTCTGTTACTGTATACTTAAACTCTTGTACTTCATTGTATTTTGCTTTACTCAGAATTGCATTACAAACGAAATGGGCGTGGTCTAGTGACGAGAGGTACGGACTGGGAATCCAATATTTTAGTGTTTCGCATCTTTTTTCCGCAAAATCTCGATCCGCTGTTTGGGAGAATGGGTGTGTTTAAATTTTTTCGGACATAATAGTGCGATTTGGTAGCTCTTGTGTAGTGTTGTGCAAAAATTCTAAACAAAGCTTTTTAAGCCTAATATAAGATATCCAATAAGCCCTCAGTGTGGAACGTGCATGCTAACATGCATCAGGCCGACCTATCAAAGATGACCTATGGCCAGTTTTAACTTCATGTGATTTAGATTGTCTGAAGGCAGGTACAACAAAAAGACAGTAAAAGACTAGGATGGTGTTAACCTCGAGACTTTGTTAACAAGATAGTGAAGTGGTGCTAAGACATAGAAGGATACTGAATAATTTCAAAACATTAGTTTCTAAGTATTGTTTTCTGTCGTATGATCTGTTTAGTAGTCGTTACGTGTTCAACGACTGGTTAGAGAACACTAGTATGTTTTAATTTTTCGTCATTATTGTTTGTTGGTTGAGGAAGAAACGATAGAAGTTTTGCTTAGTTGTGATTTTTGATCACTGATGTGGGAGTAATATTTAAGTTTTGACTAGCTATGCTGTTAAAGATTTCTAGAAAGTGTCTTCACGCTTTAAATAAAATGTTGTTAGTGTAGTACAGTTAAAAAAAAAAGACACCTTATTGGATCTACTGTCGTCAAGAAGATCATGTGTTTAAGGTGCTGATGTGCAACTTTGGTAAGAACATGAAAGTATAAACAAAGTATGAAGTTCTTAAATTCATTTAACCCTCCTTTTGCAGGTGGTTGGCGAGAGTTTCAGCGTTCCCATGAAGACCTTTGTACATCTCTGACGAAAACCAAAGTAAAGGAAAGTGGACAATCTTTAAGTTTAGATCAGTCTTCTGCCTCTACCATTTTATCACATTCGCCCCTTGCCAGCCCTACCATGTTGGTCAATCCAGTTTGGAATGATGATCTGGGGCAAGAAAACATCGATAACGCGCAGCTATCAGAAGTCTTACCCTTTCTTTACCTTGGCAACGAACAGAACGCCTCAGACCAGACAACCCTCAAGAAACTAGGGATCGGGCACGTGCTCAGTGTAATTCTACATAATACCGGACACCACAGTTTGGCAGGATTCAAGTCTAAAAGACTACCGGCTTCTGACAGTTGTCATCAGAACCTAAAGCAGTATTTTGAAGAGGCTTTTGCTTTCATAGGTAAGCGAGGCGTTGATCTGGTTAAAGTGGATATAACATTGATACAGCTTTAGAATATTTTAGTTCCTTTATTAAGTTTAGGCATAACTTAAACTGAAAAATCGCAAGCACAATCACTTTGAATTTATATTCACAATAAAATGTTTCGACAATACAGTAGATAACTTTTCATTTTAAATGCATTACAAGTGATTAATTTTGAATATTAACTTTTGCCCATTACCAGTTTTTATTGCCATGTTAACATTTCCTGTGAAATAAATCCCCTGGGGCCTTACCGTAATAACTACAGCTACGTACTTGAGATACATACAATAACCAACACAGTAAATATATCGGCAGCTTTCCTTTGTAACCGAATTAGCTTGGAGGATTTCTTCATGTCCTCTGTATTTACTTTCCCAACTAAGTTGCAAACACACGTATTTTAGTAGTTTTCATCATTTAGGAAAGCTACAAGTAATCGTTTGTTTGAACTTAAACATTGTAGAAGTGAATGTAGACGATAAAAATTGAATACTTTAATCTGTTTTGCACGAATGTATCATAACAGTCTGCGTTCGTTAGATCTGCCTGGGTTTATCTGCACTTTATTATGATAAACTAAACATTTGTGATGTGGAAATAAAGAGATTATTTTAAAACAAAGAACAATAAGAAGGTGACTCACGAAGAATACTCGTTTTATGAATGAAAAATCACAGACCAGTTACTTGAGACTAATAGTTACTCTTTGAGTCACAGAAAATGAGAAAAGTTGTGTTATAAAATATTTTTTCCAGTCTCTTAATTGGAGAAAGGAATATTCTCGTATTATTGGGAATCGTACTGAGATGCGAATAGAGAGGGTAGTTCTAACAATATTAGCTTTAATAAAGATCGCATACGGGGCACGGTAGTCCCCACGTGAGTCACTGTTTTGATTAATGCCTTGTTTACTTGTTTTGCGATAATGCACTGTTCTGTCATTCATGCTAACTCCGTCATCGCTAGCTTCTGTTTCGATTAGCAGTGGAACAGCGGATTAGGTGGCGTCCTAAAGTGGAATCTACTACCATTGTTAAAGTCAATGGTTAAGCCTAACTTGTTCTAGGTATGGAAATTTGATTTTGGCGGGGAGCATTGTCCCTCACCCCAAAAGGACGCTTATGTACACCGTCAACAATCAGGACTATCGTGTGCCGCGTGCACGGCCCCGCCAGCTGTCCTGTTACCTGGTTCTCAGGAGTGTGGGGATTACTCATCACTGAAGGGGAGGGGGAAAGGAGCCACGTCATGCATGGGGCGGACGTCTTCTCGTCTAGCATCGGTTCCCATACAAAGTTTTACTCAATGCTGTGCATTGTTCATGTGACTTCCAAGGTAGCAGATATAACAAGCACCTGGATGACCTCATCGCCTCCTGGTGGGAAATTCAACATCTCGTGCCCTACATATACACATGATAGTAATTAATCTGAATTACTTATTGTTGTAATTGATATTGTAATCGCGATTTTTATTTGAACAGTTTATAACCACCAGGTGACTGCAGAGTAAAAGGGCGGTATATAGTATTTATTATATAAGGCTCTTTTTAAATTCCATAAATTGTACTTCGGAATGGTTAACGTTAAATATGTGATTCATTCAATACACTAAACCACGACATGTTTGGTTTTGTATACGAAAAGGGTAAACAATCTAAGTTGAAGCATATTAGTAAACTTCGTAGGTACAGTAGATTACATGTTAATGCTATAAAGGTGTTTAAGTTACTACTGTATTCAGTTCTTGGAACCTTGCATAAAGTCAAATGAACATGCTCGCCGCATATATATGCACTTATGAATACTAAAGATATAACACCAAACGTGTTGTATTTGGTAATGTGCAGAATTCTAGCTATGAACAAGCGAAAGAAAAACCAACTGAATCTTCCAGCTTCACCCAATTCGTATATGTATGAATTCCATACAGGATTTAAAGACGCTAAACTTTGAACGGTTTAACAGCCATATCACAGTAATTGCTTGCATGTGTACAAAACTCCTCGTCTATATAACTTTCCGTCTAGTGATCAAAGTATGTTGTTGTTGAGCTAGGACATTGCCCCAAAGCTACACAAGAGACTTGTAACCAGTGAACGTAGGCACTAGCTTGGAAATATGACTCATTTCCCATGCTTGCTTTTTTTGTTACTCATTCTTTACCTGTGCAGGCTTAACAACACGGGGAGGAGGGGGGAGTTTATTTCCCCATTCAGTGCTGTTTGGTATCCTTACACTGACTGAGTCGCATGAATCAGCACTACATATTTGAAGTCCCGGGACGCTGAGCAGGGGTCGAAGAGAGGAGTGTGCGTGTGCATTACGTCATCTCGCAACATAGAACACCTGTGGGGTCTTAGTTGTCTTTTGTTTAAAACCGAGGAAACTGAAGATGTGAGGGTTACTGCTATAAGTTCCTTACCTAACTGTATAAATACGATAATGTATCAATATTTTTAAGAGAAGGATTATAGAGCTTCCAGTTAATTATAACTCCTCAATGACCCCTATAACTCGCTTATTTCATCAAGTTATGAATATTTCCAAAAGCATGTTCCTTTCTCAGTATATAGTTACACAAGTGCCGTGCTTTTTTATTTGTCGAAAACATCATTCTTGTAACAGTGTGCTAAAAGTACATTTTATACTACCCTTTGTTCCGCTTAATGATTACCCATATTTGATAACTTGGCTTGCACCGAATGGTCACTTTGCATTTGATAAACTGATCTACACTCTAGAGAGCAAAACTGGAAATGTGGTCTTACTTTTAGTTTTACTTTATTAATTATCTCGGACAATACTGGCCCGTCTCGTTCCTTATTTCATTTCGTGTTATTTATAGCAACACTAGAAACTTTTATGTGCGTTCTGTTAAGAAAGATGTGTGATTAACGAGCGAAAGCGCGAACTAAGCGTGCTTGAAAGTGGTGGTAAAAATCTGCTGCTTTTAAGGCGTGACTCACCGATGTATATATTTAGCATCTGTGAAGTGTATAACATTCCGAATTATGTCCTAGTCAGGTGATTCTTAATAATAAGTATTTTATATATTATATCGACGTTTATGTATGAATATAGATCTACAGATTAATATGTGGAAGACACCAATCAGACAAGATTACTTAGGTCTCAATGATTGTTCCTCCACCATATACCAACACTTTACAAACTTGACTTTCCCAGACATCTTTGCTTTTAATTTGCATACACTTTATCAGCAGCAACAGGAAGTCTTGTGTAAAAGCTTTCCTGGAAACCGTGTAAAACTAAGTAATAAGGCGTGTTTGATTTTAGAAGTGCTCTACTATGACACGTCACTGACACAAGCTGCTATCACGAAGTTTCAGGTGTTTCTACAAAGAGGAACACTTGGCACTACGTGCGGTAACCGTTATGTACTGGTTTACTTGGCGAGAATCTCGGTTGACCCAATTAAAAGGAGGCACCAAAGATGATTTGGGAAGCTAAGATCAACATCACCACCCCCACCCCCCACCTGGAGTAGTTAATCAATTTTAGAACTATTTTATATTGATCACAGATTGGAGTAACCACAAAAACTCGATGCTGTGTGGTAGAAAAACGTTAGATAAGTAAATAGTGTCTAGCTATATTACTTATAATGACATTTTCAGTGTCTAAACTTTGTCGCATTTTGTTTTTAGTCTTGGAATCAGATGCTTATATTAGGAAGAACGAGAATCCTATTGGTTGAGTTTGAATCTGAAAGAGATGACAGAACAATACAGTAGTTGCCTCGTCTAACCTAATTCCTAAAAACATTCTGGTGAAATTAAGGGGTGTCGACGAGTTTACAATATGGAAATTAATTCAATACTTTTCGTGCCACAAAAAATATCTGTGTATAGTTTAATCAGATGCAGAATTATAATAAAATGAAAAACTAACTACATCTTTTTTGAACTGTGTATTTTATTCATGCAAGTTTGTGGGGTCCAAAATTTTTTCAAGAGTAATGTTCCACTAAACTTGTACACTTCCCATATCAAACTATAAACTTGCGTTAAAAAAAGCTTGCAACATTTATCTTGACACCTATTTTTTAAAACTTCTCTTAATGTATACTTACAAATATACTGATATTGTTACTAGCTGAAAGTTAAGTATAACGAATGTAATGAGGTTTCCAGCTGTTTACCGCTGTGCAAAAAAAAAACGTTCCTCCCCTTTTGTGTGAATGAAACCAGAAGGGTAACTAATTGACTTAGAAACCTAAAATGTAGTAAAATTCCGTTTATCTATTCAGTAGATTGCGCGTCTCTGTCTTAAAATTAATTGTTTGAAAATGAGAAGTAGCCGCAGGGTTTCCGCTTCTCCCGCTTTGCAATAGAGCAATGTCACGTGGAGCAATTAAGTTGATTATAGTTAAGGACAAACTCTGGATGAAATCAATAGTTTTATACATCAACTCCCGCCTTAAGCTAATAAAATATACAGAAAATATTAGATATTAACCTCTGTCACAGTGCTAGGGTAAATGGTTAAGCTTATGTATATAGTTTAACCAACGGGTTATTACGGGCAGTGTAAATGAAATACGGTAGACTTTACTACAAATATGATGTAGTTAATGTTTTGATAGATGTTTACTGTATTAACGTATATATACTTTACACTTGAAAAAGGGTAGTTTGCGTCATTATATAACAACAGATGGTTTTCAGTTTTACCTTGTAACAGAAAGCTACATGGCAATTACCTAAATATTTAATCGACACATATTTATCATTATTGTTGTTGTTTTCAGTTGATTTGTTTTATACTTAAATATTAAATTACACATTAATTTCTTGACAGTTAAAAGGTATAAGATGTTTCTCAAAGGCCAGATTTCATAACTTAAGTATCATATTTTACTGATTTTCAGATGAGGCCAGATTACAAGGCTCCAAGGTCTTGGTACATTGCCAGGCTGGAATTTCTCGGTCTCCAACTATCACAATTGGATACATCATGCACCATACGCATATGTCTCTGGTAGATGCCTATCGACTGGTCAAGTCCAAACGCTCTATCATATCTCCTAATCTTAACTTCATGGGCCAGCTTCTGGAATTAGAACAATCGTTGCGCCGAGACGGACCTTCCGAACCGGATTGTAAGCCTTGTAAACAGTGCGCCAACACAAAAACTGAACCTTCGCAAGACTGTGGACCCGGAGTTTGATTATACATCTTTTGGCCAGATGTGTCAGCGTTTGGATCAGTCTATATTATCTTCTCCATTGAGTGTGTGAGGTGTATTCGTGGTCCAAAATGTGATTTTTATCCCAATAACGTAGGTGTCTTATGCATTGCATTGAAGAGATCACCTTCAAGTCCTCTGCTCCTCTGGATGTGTCAGAAGTCTGTGCGATCCAAAAAGGTTAAACCTTTTCAAATAACTGGTCTGTTTCGTGAAAGGTCTACGTGATCCAAACCTCTTATTGGCTGAATCGTTAGGATGACAACGTAATCCAAAGGGATTGCGTTTTTCTGGACCGTGCCATTAGATGACCAATGGAAAGGGTAATCGTAAGAACTATATATGTGGATGCTAAAGTATTACCACCTAAGCGTTGTGCCATTTCTAGGCACCTTATCTCAAGTCGTCGATAGTAAACATGAAGAGCGGAGTTAATATCCAAGCTCAGCTGCTGACCTTAAATTACTATGAACAACTAGTTTTGTGATATAATACACAGATACTATCTGCTCGCAACGTGGTCTTCCTTACTAAACAGGTAGATCTAAGTAACAGAAGAAAAAAGTGTGAGTTCTCAGTATGGTGTCATGAGCCTTAATAGTGGAGAAAGTAGTCACACTTCCTGGAAAACAAGGACATACATTTTATGGTCCTCGCCGTTTTATATATATGCATGTACACTAAAGCATCATATAGAAACTGATCATGTGACAAGTTTACCTAGTAGAAAAAAAAGCATGATAAACACTCTTCCTTTTCAGTAACAAAGAAAGTTCAGATTATAAAAGTTTAAAATATGTAAATTCATGCAAGATGTTTTCCTGTGAGGGTTCAAGTATAACATTTTTAGCTTTGAGTTTTAAAGAATATTTAAATTAGATCCCTACTAAAAATATATTCTGTTTAGAAACTTAAATGTCTTTCTTTTAGTTGCAAAGAATAGATTTTTTATGTAGTAGTTTTCGACTTAGAATTAGTTTTTGAAGAACAGTAAAGTATGTGTGTAAATGTGCTAGAAGTGTTCTGACCGTCGGTTTATCTGTGATTTGTCCTGTGTTCTTGTGGCAATCAGTTCACTTTTTTGTTATGGAAATGTTTTAACTTCCATTTAAATATCTCGAACAAAATATGTAAAATTTCTTTCATGAACAGAAATAATTTTTCCGATGTTTTGAAAGTGTAACTGTATGAGATAAATTATACGAAATCAAATGATACATAAATTATGTAACTTGTAGATCCAAGCACGTTCAGTTGTTTATTTAGCCCACCTTGTGTACAGTTAAGAGTGTAACAATGAAAAATCTAGTCCAATTCATGTGTGTTTGCGACTCTCTGAGGTAAAGATGGACCTGTTTTGGTCCAAAGAAGAGATGGTTTACAGTCCATTACCTGTAGAACCCTGTTTAATTAAGACTCGTGGCAGTATAAACATTGTTCAAGATGCCTCTAATAATCATAATTATTATTATTAATCGCTAAAACAAGATGAATTACTAATCTTTTAATTAGCAAATGAACTTTTATTGCCTTAAACAGAAAAAGCATTAGTGTATTTTCAGTTTATTCTTTAAAGAGTGATTTCTTTCTAAAAGTATTAGAAAATGAGTATAAGATCGTATGTATGTGTTACATTATCACTAATCATTTATTTAAGCTAGTTTTTTTGTGTGTGTATGTGTAGAATTACCTGCACACGATTTGGCAGGACCAACAACGAAGAAGTTTCAAATCCAAAATACCACAATAAATTAAAGTACAAATGAACGACCGTCGTCATCTCTTTATGTAACAGTTGTTATTTTGGGCTAACCTATGCTGTAGTCAATAACAGTATTTTTAAAATCAAGCAGTTTAAAATAAAGTGTTTGTATATTATTCTTGACACTATTGTTTCCTTGCTGTTAATAAGTTTTTGTAAGACACCACACCTGAACACATTTGCTGTTATTGGTACTATTTCTATATATTGACGCCACATCCGGACTCATTTGCTGCTATTAGGGACCATTACTATATGTTGACGCCAAACATGGACACTTTTCTGCTAATTTTCCTCTGTGTATAGTTGATTGTTTAATTTATGGTGCATATTCATATGCGTGTTCTTTCTTCAAAGATATTAGAAATTAATATTCAAGTAATTTTTGCCTAAAGTTTCAGCAATAAGATATTCGCGCTGTTAAGGAGACGACAGAATTAAAAACTACTTGTAATATTAATGGAGAATGTAGAATTAAAAATTACTGGTGATATCATTTTATAGAAAAAAAAGCAGACTACATGACTGAAGCAGACTTTAACTGTTGATATCTTCAAGAATAAGAGTCAAATCCCACAACAAGATAAGATTTACTACATCATAAGTAAACACTCGTTAAAGCCTAATAGTTTTGTGAACAACCGACTGCATAAATGTGTTGGATAGAAGAACACTTGGTGAAAATTCGTTATATTCTTGAAAGTATCGGTACTATGTGTTATAAACTGTCAGTTATGCCACTCAATTAACTGTATATTGATAATTGAATTTTAATTATTAATTTAACTCTGTGGTGGAATAATGTATCAAGTCTTCATAGTTATTATCCCGTATTTTAATTGTCACATGTGTTACTTTTGATGTTACGATTATATTTATATATCGCTATCTCATTTTTTGCAAAGTTTATCAAAAAACGTCCAGTAATTTTACAAGTGTTGGAGGCCGTTGGCTGAAACATCCATTAAGCCTAACAACATAAGTTATTCACATTATTAATTGCAATAAAAGTAGCAAGGGTGACAGTAAGACAATGATTATATATTGTAAAACGGAAAAACTTGGGAGAGTTGATCCACTTTTTTTTACTTTGAGTTTAAAGACGTATGTTTTTTGTTTATTATATTACTGTTCAACAAAATTGAGTCAATTGCCAATAATAAGAAAGTTTTATAAAGATAGAATACAGAAATGTATCGGAAGACCCTAGGCACGAGAATAGACTAGAAGAATTTCATACATAAAAAAGGGGAAAACAAATGTTGGATGTGGTACTGATAATTGGCGTCAGAAGAAGCCAATTTCTGAAATTTTTGCCTGACAGATCTTTCTGCTCACTAAAATAAACATAATTGAACTGTATTTTCAACATATACACAATTATTTGTAAATAAGCGTTTCTTACTTCACTCAAACCAGCTATCTATTATAATAATAATAATACTCGATTATTACTTGGATCGGTTCAAAGAACAACAAAACAATAAAATTACATGAAAAATTTGTTAAAAGGACAGCGGGCTGAATGTTTTAGGATAAACAATTGTAATTGTCTGTTACAATCTGCAGTCATTCCAGATATTAAAAAAAGAGAAAAAGGATAATTTAGATATAATTTGTAGTATTTTTTATGGTGGTTAAAAGAACGGTCAAATGGGCCGAGTCCGTAAAGTGTTAGGGTAGATAAAAATAAAATACAAAATTTCACCGACCAAAAACTTTTGATATTCATTTAAGAGGTTCTTAATTCTAATCTTAACGCCTTGCACCCAGACAATGTATCTTCATGAACTTTGGCAAGTTTTTAGTAAACATAACAAGTCTTCTGTAGAGAAAGAAATCAGACTTTTTAGGAGAGTATTTTTTACAAAATGTCTGTGAATGTAATGAGTCAGAGTCTGACGCAGACAGTGAGTACTACATTAAGGTTATAGTAAGTATGCTTTCGTGGTTGTCTTATGGTTGCAAGATTGGTTAAAATGATCAAGTTTGTAGAGACATGGCAAGGTTGGACGACTTTGACCCGAAATTGATCGGCATCTAGCACACGAGCTTATCAAACAACAGGGGTGCAAAAACTTTTTTCAAGTAATCTTGAAATACTCCAATGTGCATGCATTACAAGTTAGTAAATGTAACTTTCTGTCATAGACCACAGCATGAAACAGCATAGAAACACTTTGTTATCTGTGAACCAGTAAACATTATAATATTTATTAAGCATCTGACTACCACAAAAAATGCGTGAACCAAACGATTTGGTATGCAATATGCGTATGGTAGTTTCAAAATACGTTAATTTACTCACGATTTTGAGTAAATGCCATGATTACTCTGAAGTGATCACTTATCTTCGATAATATAGAAACACAATGAAGTGATAAATTTTCTTCAGTGCTATAGTAACACTTTTATGTAACCAGTTCTCTTCAGTGGTGTATAAGCTCTCTGAGTTAATCAACTAATTTACCAAAAACAAACAAAAAACACCCACTTAAAGTTCATGTTTTTACATTTAAAAGGAGTTCAAGTCTATTTCCAATAAAGCAGTTTTATATTTGGCTATTCCTCATTTAACGTTTAGAATAATGAGACTGTAAAACGATATTTATAACTTAGTAGCTAAAATTTCATTTCTTTAGGCCTATAACATGTGTATAACAGGTTCGATGGAAAGACGATATATATATAAAAAAAAAGTTCCAAACCGACTTTTGTATTATGCAATCCTTCAGCATATTGTCTTCATCGTTAGAATAGTCTAAATAATCATTTTAACTTAGCAGAAAATAACGAAGAAGTTGGTAAGTAAACCACATTAAAAAAAAAAAAAAACGATGTAACCCTAAATCAAGAGTAAATCCTCAATAGCCGCGGCTCTTGAAATTCTTTTAGGCAAGGTTAGAGTAAATTAATCCATGATACCTATTTTTTTCCTTTCTATTAGCTATATTTTTGTGCTCCAGCAATACCAAGCGTTGGGTGCGCTTATACCCTATTCGATTTTATTACTCATCAGGATATCCACTAGCCTACCCTCACACTGAAATTATTTTAGGCAGGATTAGAGTAAATTAATCCATGAGTCCTTAGGCGCGATCAAATACATCAATCCAAAGGGTTTGACCTCCTGAGTCCAAAACTGTAATCAGATCTCAAATAGATCAAGATATGACAGAGCTATGAACTAAAACTTTGTATTTGAAAAAAAAAGAACAACACACGGCCATTTTATGAGCCGCTATGCCGCTGCTAAAAACAGAATGCCCCCGATGAAGGTAGAACCCCTTTGTTAAGGTTTTTTTACCTTAACAAATTTAATTGATTAATTTGAAATCAATATTTAGCCCATATATATGTAAGGACCAGAGTGAGATACAGACTTCTATAACCTTCGAATATTAGTGTCGTCTAGTAGATAATTATGAAGTTACCTATCTTTTGTTAAATTAAGTAAAACTGGTCATTTGATAAAACAAAAACATTAAATAAAATAACATGTATGGCGGCAGCTATAATGTACTAGATGAAAGTCTGGGTTACTAACAAACAAAAATGAAATAAGTCATGTTTGCTCCTTCTACGCAAGAAAAAAAGGGTTCCGATTTTGTTAAAACACAAAGTCCCTGATGTTAAAAACATACCTCAACTGGATGATTATTCAACCAATAACCGAGTGGTTTATATATGGTCGATCTAGTTATTTCTTTCAGTGTTCATATGTATGTTGCTGTGTTGTAGTTTTTTCAAGTTTTCGCGCGGAGTTACACATAGTCGATCCTAATTTTGATCTGATAGGCTTGCGAAAAGGAATCTAGTAAAAAAGAACCTACCGCTAACTGAACATTGGGATTGGACTGCGTGTCTCTTTATACCGCACTCAAAACCCCAAAATGCAGCAACGCAACATGAACCATAGATCGTCGGATTCAAAGTCCGGAACACTAATAATAGGGCACACCCAACCCTAAACGAAACTTTCAGAACAGTTGGCCAAAGCAGGAAGGTTTATCTGTTAATCCTTTTAGTTGTAAATAATTTAAATAATTTTACTCGGTAATCATCAGACGACTTTACTTCCACACCAACTAAACCTAGGACTAAACTAAGTCTAAATAAAACATGGTACATATGTCAGGTATACGATATACCACTAAATGAACGATTTTTAATATTAGTTGTAGTTTTAGACTGAAATGTCATTTTAGTCACACTTTGAACGTGAACCTGGATGTAACTCACATACAAGCACTTAAAGCTCCGTTGTGCAGGGATTCAAATCCACCCACGTGACTCACTTCTGCCTGGTAGTTGTTAAAGAAAGTAACTCGTCTTGGTCATTAATTTGATGTTTCGTTTAAAGTTGTGTTGTTACTGTAGTTTGTCAGAGTCGCCCCCGTATTTTAAACAATGATTATAAAAAAATAAATCTGGTTCTAACTTTGCAGGAAATGTTTTATTGGCACCATATGTATTGGAAAGCACTGACCAGGAGTGGCGAAACAAACAAATCTCATGGATTTGTTATCTTCATGCATTAGGTTTCTTAAACACCGAGAAAAGAAAGGCATTTTCACGTACATAAGCTTTTAGATTTTATGACGTACCATTGGAATATACGAAACAACAGCGTTCTGTTACCCAACTGGCAGTATTTTCTCTAATCTTAGCAACTTAACAACCTTGTTAAATAACTTAATTGTTTTCTATAACCCTAGAATACTGATTGGGACCCATGTGATACACCAAGTTACTTGTAGGTCCATGATGTTATTGGTTACATGATCCATAATACCATATGTATGAGTCATACAAAAATATATAAAATAAAATAACGGGGTTTCCTGTGTATTTAGCTTCCCAGTGGCTCAGCAGTAAGTATGAGGCCTTATAACGCTAAAAATCGGGTTTCGATACTCGGGTGTGAATAATACAGATAGCCCATTGTGTAGGTTTGTGCTTAAAAAAGAATAAGCAAACGCACCTATATATTTTACACTCGAAAGAATGATTTCCTTCAAAATGTTTGGTCTGTTCCTTACACCGAGTGTAATAATGGGTAAAAACATAAAATTACCCAATATGATGCAGTATCTGGTCCCCACAAGTATAACCGTATGTGA